ATGAAGTGGAAAGAATGGCAGTCATCAAGAAATCTTGTAAATAGGATATTATGTCTGCATCTTGTATAGCAAATAACCACTAGGAAAAGAATATGCGATGTGTTTATTATTATTATTATTATTTGCTCCAAATGCCTTCAGGGCAGGTTTGGCTGCCTTGAGTTGTAGGGATCGAAGCACAGCAACCTGAGCCTGACTGCTTTGTTGAAGCAGCCACTTAAAGAACTGAGCTAAGGGGCAGGCGCCCCCTTCTACATTATTGATGGGGATGTAAACTAGTTCAGTAATTATGGAAGTCAATATGAAAGTTTCTCAGAGAACTAGAAGTAGATGTTCCATTTGGTCCAGCAATGTGCCTTCTAGATATTTTCTCAAAAGAGCTAAAGACATTGTAAAACAATGATAACATGAACACCATTGTTTGTAGTAGTGCAATTTATAATAACTGTATCGCGGAAGCTATCTGTACATCCCTAAACAGATCAATGGATAAAGAAAATGTGGAATTTATATACAATGGAATCCTCAGTCATAATGAAGAATACATTTTTGACATTAGTAGGAAAATTTGTACACCTGGAAAATATAATTTTAAGTGAAATAAATAAGAAACAGGTGTAAATGCCTTGTGGTCTCATTTTCATAATGCAGCATGCAAATAAAGTCCAGAATAAAGGATGGATTGAAGAACACTGGGAGATAGACATTTTGTAAATGGGAAGCATTCTAAAGAGTGAGGGGACAAAAAGAGGAGAGTGGGACGAAGAGGAAAAGAATCAAGATGTGTTATGATGTCCATGTACCTACTCTCTAAGATGAACATAAACTTCATGTGTTGCAAACTAGAGTAATAAAATGTTAAAAATCAAATAGTTTTATATTTTTTCATCTTATAATAATGTTAATATATCAATATTATACATACATGTATACAGTATGTTTGCACGCAGTTTTTCTTCCTTAAATTTGTAATAAGCCACGGAAGTAGCTCAGTGGCATAAGCACCTGCTTGGCAAAGCGCAAGATCCTGAGTTTGCTCCTCAGAACGAAACCAAACCAAAGCTATATATAAAAATTTATGTTTAGAGGTCCTCATGGGGAAGATAAACTTAAATAAAAATATATTTCATATACATAAATATATTTCATATATATCAGTGGATGTTTTTTCCACAAGTGTTGAAAAATGTGTAATAAGTACATTTACATGCATAAAACATACATAAGATGTTTTTATTTAATATAATTCATTAAGATTACTTTTAAACCTACAGGTTAAACCAAAGTAATGATAACTATTTCCCCTTTTTTGTCACAATGATATACTAATTCTAGTATTGTTTTCATATTTTTGAAATTGGGATGTATTTACATCTAATGACATGGTAAAATTTGATTAGCATAATTTTCTTTCTTACTGGTATTTACAACAATGGCAGCATGTAAATTAGCTGTGGCATGTAATTTTGCTCTTACCCTCTTTTTATCTATACTCGACCCAAGTCGTACAGAGCCATTTTCTCTCTTACTCTTCATTTTGCTTTTTTGAAAAAACTTTGCTACTGCTTTTTAAAAAAAAGGTTTACCGGGGCGGGGGAGATGGCTCAGTAGAATAAGCACGTGCCTGGCAAGTGCAAGGGTCTGAGTTCAATCCCCAGTTCTGAAAAAAAAAAAAAAGGTTTACCTTCATCTTTAGTGAATTGATATATATTAAGAGAATAAATAAATTTGTTGTATTAAAAATAGGAGTAAGATAGTATTTCTAAGTCAACATTTTAAATGATACATTCCATTTTATTTATGTATTTTGTTTTTGATAGTACTGGAGATTAAACTTAGAGCCTCAGGCATAATAGGTAGCTGTTCTATCACTGAGCTCTATTCTACAACTCTGTATTTTATTTTTTATTCTATTATTTATTTATTTTGTGTGTGTGTGGCCAGCTCAGCCCACCAGGGGCGGGGCTGGCTGGCATGTGGTGCTGGGGGATTGAACCGCAGTCCCTGTTTTTTGCTTAGCTTAGTTTAGCTTGTTCTAAGTAGGTACTTTAGACCACTGAGCCATCTCACCAGCCTTGTATTTTATTTTGAGACAAGATGTTTCTGACTTGCCTAAGGTGGCCTCACACATTTTGCCTCAGTCTCCTGTGCAGCGGGATTACAGTTGTACACCACTGTACCTGATGGAGTATCCATTTTAAGTACATATGTAACCAAACGAGTATACTTCCTATGATAATTAAATGTTTACTTCCATCCTGACTTTTTTTTAGGTTGATCCAGAAAAATTATATTTAGAGGTTCTCATGGGGAAAATAAGCTTTATATTTCAGATTATTTTATACTGAATTACATACTTAGGTATCTATAGTGTAATACAACCTGAAAATATAAGCCTAGATATTTATACTTTGTGAATATTTTTCCTTAAAGATATTCTGAATTGATATTGTATTTCAAGTCTTCAAAAATCTTCTTATAAAATCAAGCTGCATGTAGCTATGGTATAAATTTCTGTATAATTTATGAGGAAAATGATTGCTTAGAAAATAGTTCCCTTACTTTTAAATTCGTGGTTGTGCTTGTTTGATCTATGAAGTACAACATCAGAGAACGTGCTCTTAATGCAGTTGATGTAGAAGAGTAATGATCGGGGCTGCAGCTGGTAATTGTGCAGCTTTATGTAGTGTGTATTTTGCTTGAAGGAGGATGCATTTTAAAAAATAAGAAACCCAAAAAGTGAAAGATGCTGAGTTATTACAGTTGAAGATGACTGGTTCTTTATCTGATCTGCTTGCTTCCGCTTGCTGTGTGGAGAAGCTGCTTTTTTCTTTTTCATTTTTTGTTTCTTCCTTGATCAGTTTCACTGATTTCATTTAACAGGGGAATACATTCTTCATATAGTCTTTTCTTTATGTCATTTTCCCAAAGTTCCTTGTGGGCATAGCACCTCATAATTTATTACTATTCCTTTACTGGAAAATTTTTAGTGTCTTCCTTAATTTTTTAATTAGATGTGTGAACATTAGAAATTATAGTTGTGAACCAGCAAGAGAGCTCAGTGGACTAAGCGCCTGCTTGGCAAGTTCAAGGACCCAGGTTTGATCCCCGCTACCACATGACATGCCTGCTACTGAGTCTGGGCATGGTGGCACATACCTGTGATTCCAGTGCTGGGGAGACTGAAACAGGAGGATCACTACAAGTGTGAGCTGCTTAGTAAGACTCTGAACCAAATACAATAATAATAATAATAAATAATAATAATAATAATAGTTATTCCTGTGTAAATACTTTCCTCTTAAATTTATTCCCTACGATATATAGCTTGATAAATGTGATTCATGAGTAATAAAATTGGTAAAATATGATTAAGGTTGCTTACTCTTGGAAAGAAAACCTGTGGACTTACCCATATCATATATAAAACCTTGCATCTGTAGGAAATTTCACTTAATATTATTATTGTCCTGAAATTATTCTCATTTTCTGTGTCATAACCACAAAAATGAAACATACAGAACAGTCATTTAGAGATTGGCCTTTTTTTTGGCCTTTGAACATTGCCAGCTTTTGACAGTCTTGTACATGCTAAAGTTCCATTAAGTTTTATAGATTCTTGAAAGTGTATCATAGAACAGATAGAAAGAATTTCCCCAGGTGAGATGTTAGTAGACGTGCATCCTTAACCTGAGCTTGCCACTGACCCTCTGCATGGCTGTGAGCATGTCACTTTTCTGTTTCTCATTTCATTTTAAACAATTGGAATAATATTATACTCCTTTGTAGAATTCTCCTGACTTTTAAAACTTTGCTTATGAGTATATGCCGAATTATATTTGTACACCACTTTGCTAAGTTTTAAAAAGTGTTAAGGTGCAAATTAAAATGGTGTTTGCATTCAAGAAATCTTTTAGTTTCAATTCTCTTTCAGTTTTTTAAGACAAGGTTTCACTGTGTAGTCTAAGGTAATCATGAGCTCATTAGGTATTCCATGCTGACCTCAAACTCCTGGCAATCCTCTTGCCTTTCCTCCTGCCTCAGCCTCCCATGTGTTGGGATTACAGACATGTACCACCATGCCTGGCTATTTTCAATTCTTAAAAAGTTAGATCATTAAGACAATCTGGATGGCACTGACCATTAAAAATTTTAACTATTGAAAGATAATAATTTCAGTGAAATTGATTAATTTTTAAAAGGAGAAGACTGCCTGTTATTATATAGAAGACAATAATGAATCATAGGGGCTTTATGCTGTGTAGGAATATTAAGCATGATCTTGTTGCAATTTCTACTGCTGTACAACTTTGGGAATGCATTGATGCTTACAGATCCATACGTGTTCATTATTGTCTTTAGATTGCACCATTCAAAGATTTTGTAGATTTCAAGTCAGAAATATTGATTGTGATTAAGAAAAAATGTTTTTTTGAAAATTTAAGAAAATCATTTCAAATCCTTCCATGTAAAGTAGAGTTTTATATTCTACAGAATAACTAAAAGCTGCCAGTGTTTTTCTGCTTTTTCATTTGTATAACTTTGATCCTCTTAGTGGAATGGAGTAGATAAAACACTAGTAAGTTACATGATGGTGGAGGGACCAAAAGCTAACTTGATTATGTTCATGTAATCATTTAATTCTGATTACTTAAATGACAGGGAAATGTTTGACTTTCTAAATTTTTAAGAAGTTTTTTATCACTGTTCTAAGAAATGATAAAGTTTAGAGAAAAATTTTTCTTTTAGAAACTTTAAAGTATGATGGTGTAATCTAATAATAAAATTCACTTGTTGACTGTTTAAAATCTGAAATTACTCAGTTTGGTGCCTGTGTGAAGTCTTGTGACCCTGTCTATTTCTTTATTTCTGTGCTTTATATTTTGTCTATGTGCATGATTAATAATAATTTTCAATATTAATTGTTTCTAACTTTCTCTTGCACGTTTTCTTCTTGGATTTGCTGTTCTCTTCAGTCTCACTTCAAGGTCAGTATGCTTGTACAAAAACAAAGATCCATAATTGAGCATTGTTTACTAACATTATCTTCAACTCTGACAGAGAACTAAAAATCAGAGAACTTATTACAAGAGAGAATATCTAAAAATGTAGATTGCATGGGATGTCAGGAGAATTCGGCGTATCCAAAACTGGATGCAGACAACGAATTTGAAGACAGTGCTGTGCAATACAACGAGCACTGTGAAATGAAAAACAAAAACTGGATGTAAATTTTTTTGCTTTGAATAATAGAAGAATCTTACTGATCTGGATTTCTTAAGAGAACTGGACATGTTAAGACCCACCAGTGCAATGAGGAAGACAAAAATTTGTTTTATATTAATTTCATCAGAGGTGTGTTTTTGGTGTTAAATACAGCAAGAGTGTTGTTGGCCATAACCTGTTAATTTATATACAGTCTTGAGTTATTCCTCCAATCTTCATACATACGTACCCTTTACGCTTTGGTTTGGTTTTATGATGTAGTAATAACAAGAATAACAGCCACTACTGTTGTCTATATGCCCATTTTCAGCTAACAGCCCAGTTTATAAAATAAATGGAGTTTGTAAACAGGAGGATCACTGTGAGTCCGATCTAGTAGTGAGACCCTGAGCACCTTGTAGCCCCTCCCCTAAAATACAGGAAAAAAATGATAATAAATAAAGAGAGGCCAGGTGGGTGGCTTTCAGATTGTCCTACCTCATTGTTCTCTGGGTTTACCTTCAGTGAACTGAATGTCTGGGGTTGCATCTTCTTTTAAGCATTGTCTCATTTTCTATTTTTCATTAGTTTAATTTCTGAATTGATGCTTGTAAACTTGCCTATGGAGAATAGCTTTATTGCTAGTATTTAGAACACTTAGGGAACCAGGGATATAGCTCAGTCTTATATGCACCTTGTTGGCAAGCATAAGGACCTGAGTTAAATCCCGGGTACCAAAAGAGAAAAGGAAGGAAGGGAAGGGGAGGGGGAGAGGGGAGAGGGGAATCCTTCAGTTTATTGGGAATGAGAAGTACTGCCTGCTTGGCCCAACCCTAGTTCTTTTGCACTCACCCACAGTATTTTCTATGTATGACCTTTAGACAATCTCAGCTATTGATAGTACAGGTTAAAGAGGCAAGTTAAGGGGCTGGGGTGATAGCTCGGTGGTCTAAGCAGCTGCCTGGCAAGTGCAAGGACCTGGGTTCCATCTCTGGTACCTTATGTCGTGCTGGCCCTACACCATGCTGACCCATAATTTGAGAGTATAGTTCAGGAGAAAGTTGAAGAAATTTTAATTGGCATCCAGCAACTAATCTATAAGTTAATATGGTTTACTTGCATACACATGGTATTGCTCTGCTGTTTTCATTGCTTTATGTTTGGCATATATAATATTTACACTTGTTTTGGGAAATTGGTGTATGTAAACCATATTTTAATTATTTTCAATCCCCTTTCCTGACCATCCCACTCTTACCCCTTCTACTGGGCCCCCCCTCTCATCTCAAAAATTCTTCCTCCCTGTGTCCTAGTATAATTTTTCCCATATTTTACTCTTTATATTTTGGTTTTCTCATATAAGAGATACTTAACATTTTGTGTCTGATTTATTTCACTTAATTATATGGTCTTAAGATATACCCATTTTTTCTGTGACATGAATTAGAGTGTTGTATATACATTTTCTGTGTTCATTTGCTGATTTATGCACAATAGGGCTCTTTTCAGAGCTTAGCTATTGCATGTTGTGATACTAGAAAAATGAGTAAATGTGTATTAGTGTAGTATGACGACTTTCAGGAATATACCGAAGAAGGGTATAGTTAGGTAAAACAATATTTATTTTTAGTGTTCTTAGGAATCTTTATGATAATTGCTGTTGTATTTTTATTTTAATCTTATTTATTTATTTATTTGGTACAGGGTCTCACTACACAGCTCCTTCTGGTAGTGATCCTCCTGTCTCAGCCTGCCCAGTTCTGGGATTACAGGCATGTGCCAGCATGCCCAGTTTTGGTGGCTGGCATGGCACAAGGCTGGCACAGTGTGCAGTACTGGGGATTGAACCCGGCTTCTTGGACTTGCCACGCTGGCATTTAGACCGCCAAGCTATCTTCCCAGCCCCTCTATTGTGTTTTTATTATCTTTCCCCCAGCATTTCAGAAAGGTTCTCCCCAACCCCAACCAGCATTTGCTGTTTTTTTGTGTTCGACTTTGGTAAGGTGGAGTCTTAAGAGCTGTAGACATACTCTGTCCTCACATTATCACTTCTGTTGCCCATAGTTTCAGTGGAATTCTTCATCTTCTGGTACCTTTTATTGACTCTACTCCTTTGTTAAACTGATCATTAATTTTTCCATCATATCAATCTATTTATTTTTGGTATCAGGACTCAAACTCAGGACCTCATGCTTTCCAAGAGGCATGGTGCTGCTGAGCTGTATCCTTTGTCTGTGTACCTACATTATCTTTGAGTTAATGAAGCAGCTTATTGATTTGTTCTTTTTCATATTGTATAATTCAGTTATTTATTTCTTCCCTAATAATGTCCTTGAGGGAGATGGTAGCTTTCAGATGCAATTTATTCCCTTGTTTTCTCATGTTTTTGTTTTGGTTTTTTGTTCTGTTCTGTTCTGTTCTGTTCTGTTCTGTTCTGTTCTGTTCTGTTCTGTTCTGTTCTGTTCTTGCTCCTGTTCCCCTCTGCTCCCCTCTGCTTCTCTCTGCTCCCCTCTGCTCTGCGTGCTGAGGTTTGAGGGCCAATAAAATTGAAAAGACTTTGTTGCCAATATAGAAAGCTCTTCTAGTTAATGTCTGCTTTACTGAAGATGCACATTGGGCAAAGCCTTTGCCTCTTTCTGAATATCCCACTACCTACCTTTGTTAATTTAGTGAGAGGTATATACTGTGTAATTAGCTGAGCACAGAGTTTCCAGAAATGTACTGCAGTAAAGTTGAAGAGAAAGTAGATATTAGCATACTGTAAATACCAATTAATGGCTAAAACTATGCCTCCACTGGCAATAGCGAAGCAATCATCAGCAATAATAACATTTAAAAAATGTTAACATAGATGTTGACATATCCTAAGAACCAATTCCTGTCACTGTACCACCCCCAACAATAGAAAGTAGGGCTGGGGAGATAGCTTGGTGGTCTAAGCACCTGCCTAACAAGGACCTGACTTCAATCCTCAGTACTTTATGCAGTGCTAGCCACCAAAACCAGGCATAGTGGTGCACACCTATAATCCCAGTGCTGGGGAGGCTGAGACAGGAGGGTCACTACAAGTCAGAGCTGCATAGTGAGACCCTGTACTGAATAAAAAAATAAAAATAAAAATAAAATGCAAAGTAGACCTATAATAATGTAGAAAGACAAACCAAATACTGAAATACAATATATATCTGCTAAAGCCAATAATGTATTACCACCTTGAACAACAGAATGCAACAATAATAGTATAGTCAATTGAATATATAAAAATTAATACAGCTTACTATATTGAAAATGATAAAAATGGAGGGAGAGAGAAAATGACAAAAGTGATTTTTGAAAAATAAAGAAACGTGAGATTAAGAATACAATAAAGAGGGCTGGGGAAATAGCTCGATGGAATAAGTGCTTTCCTGGCAAGCACAGGATCCTGAGTTCAATCCGCAGTGTCGCAAAAAAAAAAAAAAAAAAGAAAAAGAAAAAGAAAAAAAGAATACAATAAAAAGTAAGAGATAATTGATATAATTAGATAAATGAATGGAAAATAAAGGGAGGGGAGCAAAAGAACAGAATAAAGAATCATGAGTTAGGCATGATGGTGTACACCTGTAATACCAGTAATTAGGGAGGTTGAGGCCAGCTTGTGCTACAGAGTGAGCTGAAGACCAGCCTGAGCTAAAAAGCAAGACCCTGTCTAAAAATATCAAAACAAAACCCTGAAATGAAAAATCCCCAAATAACCAAGAAAAAAAGACCCATGAGTCCATAATTTTTTCTCCATGTGTTTGAATGTGTAGTTTCTTTTCATGATCTGCTGAATTGGAATCCATCAGATATGCTGGATCGACTGTGAATCTATCCTAAGTTTTATTTTGTTCGCACACTCACTTTTTTGCATGTGAATTCAGTGTCCTGCCCTGACCTTTCTGCTAAGTGTGGCAGATGTGATTTTTGCCCAAGGGCTATTTTCATTCCAGCTTGTCCTTCATTCACTGCTTTTTGTGCTTAACAGGTTATGAGTTTGCGAGCCATACTTTACTTTGCCCTGAGCTTCTTTTTTTTTCACCAGAGGCCCCTCTGTTTACCATAGACTGTGGTAATCATCTGAGCCAGCATGTATTGAAATTAGTTTGTTTGAAGGCATAGTAAAATCCAGTAGTGAACCAACTGGTCCTGGACTTCTGTTTCTTGGTAACTTTATTTCTGCCTCTATTTCTTTGCCTGTTACTGGTCTGTTCAGTGTTTTTACCTGATTGGTTCCATTTTGAAGAATCATGTGTATCTCAGAATTTGTCCACTTCCAGATTTTGCAATTTAATAGAATTTAAGTTGGGACAATACTTTGTTTATTCAGTGGGGTTTTGCTAGTTTGTGTTGTAATTTTAACTTTTTCATTTCTGATTACATTGATGTGGTTTTTTTCCCTCTGTTTTGGTCAGTTTGGGTAAGAGTTTTTCAGCCTCTATATCTTTTGGAGAAATATGAGTCATTATCTTTTCATCTCAATTTCATTGACTTTTGTTCTGGTCTTTATAATTTCTTTTCTTCTGATAGTGTTAGGCTTGTATTGTTCCTGTTTTTCTAAGGACACTGAGATGTATTATTTATTTATTTATTTGCAACCATCTGTGTTTGTAATATAGACACTCAATTATGAACTTTTAATTTAGAATAGCTTTCATTGTATCCTACATGACATGATCTAATTTGTCGTTTAATCTTTGCTGATTTTTTTCTGTGATGTGTTAATCATTCAGATGGGCATTCAGTCTCCGTACATTGGAAAAAT